GGGAGGGCCGCGCGGGTCCGGCCGCGGCGCCGCGATCCCGGCAGCGCTCTGAACGCGGCTCCTGAAGGTCTCAGGGTGTCGTCCCTCACGGTCTTCATGAGGACCCAAATGCCGCTGCGTCGAGAGGCGGGTGGGGAGCAGCTGCTGGGCTCTCGGGGCAGCAGGCGGCGGCCAGGAGCACAGGTGGCCAGGCCCTGGCCGCCGCCCACGTGTGGGCCCTCCAGGCCTGCAGAGATGAAAGCAGCTCGCACAGCCCTGCTTGGGCGGGGGCTGCTGCTTGGCCCCGCCGCGCCCCAGCCCAGGCCCTCGGTGGCGTGGGGTTGGGTGGGGTGGGGCGACCGGGGCATGAGGGCGGGGAATCCGCCTGTGCTCTGCCCGCGCCTTACCTGGCAGTCAGCGTCTGGAGCCTTTCACTGTCCGGCCTCACAGGGCCGCCTGGAGCTGGACACCTGCAGGCCCTTGGGTCTCGGGAATTCACAGTGGCTGTTAGTGACGCTTCTCTGACGTCCTGGTGCCCGGACATAGCTCAGGCGCTGACCAGCGTGTCTGGCTCCTCGGCTGAGGCCGATGGTCGCACCGGCCCCCGCCACTGTCCCTTCTGCTCGCCTCCCCACATCTGCCTTCCTGTCCTACTTTTCTGCCTCTAGTTGGTCTTAGGGCCCCAACGGTCACCTGCTCGCTATCTGCTCGTCACTTAGTGAGCCAGTGCCCGTCTGTCTCCGTCCACTCTGCTCACTGGCCCCTCCCCGCCCACCCCTCCCAGCCCACCTTCTTCAGGGCCGAGTAGTGGTCCGCCACCTGCGGCCAGTCTGCTGCCCGCCCTGGCCTCGGGCCCTGTGCTAAGGCACGATGCAGTTGGTTTCATTTAGGGTTTTGTATTTTTCAGGGAAATTCCTGGAAGCTCAAAGCAACAGTTCCAATATTCAGGCAATTCTTCAGTGTGCACTGAAAGGGGGGGCTCAGGAAGCCGAGCGCCTCCCCGCTGGGCCCCGGGCACACTGTCCTTGTCCCTTGTCCTCGAGGCCCTGGGGACCTCACGGCTCTGGCCAGTGTGTGGTGCTGGGCTTCTTGGAATAGCGGGGTGCTGAGCAGCGAGGCCGTGCCTGGGCTGCTCCCCACCAGCTCAGGGGTCCCAGTGCGGGCCCCAGGAGAGCCGGGCAGCCAGCGCACCGGGCAGTGAGGGCGCTTTGCTGGCCGCGGTGAGGCAGGCGGGGCCTCCTGGCTGATCCCGGCACCTCCAGGCCCCCTTGGTGGCCAGAGGACGTCCACGCCCGGCGGGCCTCGGGCCTGGGCGAGAGAGAGGGGCTACCGCAGGGCTCGCTGCTTCGGGGCCGGGGCCGTGC